ATAACTTTTTAAATGAGCCTTTCTGTCAAACAAACTTTAATCAATTTTGTATTACCTATCGAATTTTGAAGTACCTATTACTTTTTGCCTTTTTAAAAAAAAACTGAAAAACCTCATTTTTTCATTAGATAATATATTGAGTTATTATAAGTAGTAAAAGTTAAAAATATATCTATATATATTTTTTGTTTATAGAAGTTTTATGTTTATAGAAGTTTATTCCTACTTATTTTATTTATTGTTCTTATACTTTTCACTTTTTAATTTATATGTTGGTTTACTTTTTTATAAAAATCTGATGAGAAGATCCTCTTGATCTTTCTTCAGACACAGATTGTTTGCATTGCAATTTTGTAAAAGTTTATTAATTTTTTTTTTCTATCTTATATTTGTTAAATGTTTTTTAAGGTTCTTACGACAAGATCCTTGCGATCTTCTTTCAGATACCTTATTTATGTTTGTTATGTTTTATGCCATTGTAAGTTTATATTATTATTTTTATTATGGGCTGTACAACGATTAACGAATGTAAACCAAAAAAAAAAAAAATAATCAAAGTGGTGATTTATGGATTATGCCTCCTAATGCCGCAATAGATAATATTAATAAAACTTAAGAATTTATGAATGGCACAAACACCCAAAAGTTTCAGCATGACGGAGCACTTTGTCACAGAGCTATACTTGTAAGCAGCTGATTACATAAGAACGAGATAAATGTTATTGGCATCTAGCCTGGAAATTCACCTGACCTCAATCCTATTGAAAATTGCTGAATCTTAAAAATGAAGTGCAGAAAGTGAGACTCTTATCTTTCAATAATCTAAAATAAAAAAATAAGCAGGTATGGACTCAGCTTATGACTTCTGAATACTTGAGAAAACTTATTTAATTTGAGCCTATTCATTTAACTAACTGTTTAAAAGCTCAAAGACACCATACCAAGTATTAAATTGATGAGCAAGCATTTACTAATACTCAAAAATTATTCTTAAACTAAATTAAATTTTATATTTATTCTTTTTGTCAATTGTCATGGATACGAACATATTTTGATACAATAAGTGATTAAAATCCGAAATTTTAAGAAAAATGAACAATTTTAAGTAGTATCAAATTTAAATTGAAATTTCAAGATTCCCACAATTTTCAAAATTTGTTGATAATCAGGAGGAAAAACTTATAATTATCAGCGTCAAACTACTAGAATGTTAATTGGAGTATTTTATTAATAAATATACATTTATAATATTATCACAGAAAAACTTAAAGGATATTTATTTTAATAAAAAATTCAATTAAACATTTTTTTTACAAAATATTTTTCATTTATGCTATTGTATGTTGCTATTTTACAAATACATTAATAACTTACTTTGAACTTTTTTTGGATAGATAAAAATTAAAATATTGACAAATTAGGTGGGTAAAAATAGCTAAATCCAAAGGCCCAAAATCTTTTATACTTGAAACTATCCATATTGAATCTTATAAAAATATACAGGAATCTAGGCAACCAACTGCTCCTCAGGTACTTTTATGTTTTCTTGCACACTTTGCCAAATCTAAAAGAGATGCTGCAAATGAAACAGTAAAATCAATTCTACCATTTTATAATCAAGCAAGAATAAAAACCATTAAATCAAATAAAATAACAAAAGAAATTATGAAATTATTTGATGAGTTAAAAAAACTGTTAAAAATTTATCATGCCCATTGAAAACCTGACGAGATTACCCAAAAAATTATTGGATTTAAAGACAAGCTAACAAAAACAATAAGATTCTGGCCACGAGGTGTGCTAGATAAATTGGTTGATGCAGAGGATAAACAGTTTCTGATCAGCATGATGACTGATAGGAAAGCATCCATGGGCTCAGTTGGTCTTATACATAGCCTTGTGGAAGAAAAATTTTATGACAGATAATTTGCTGAAAAAGAAAGAATCCATAAAGAAAAAGAACGGTAATCAAATATCTTGAGATGTTCTAAGAACAATTTAATCGATATAGACAAAGGTTGTCTTGATCATGATGAACTTGGATGTGTTTATGAAACTAAGCAGCGTTCTCACAAAAGAAGCGTGAAAACTGGCACAACTGTGTTTATACCACATAGTATTCTGAAATCACTTAAAGTTTTTGAAACAGCAATTAGGAATAAGATTACACCTACTACACTCAGTTCTTTATTCCACTCAATAGTTTGTGCCACGTCTTGTGATTCTTCTAGAGTTGATTTGAGCTACACAACAGTATACAGGTATATATATATATATATATATATATATATATATATATATATATATATATATATATATATATATATACATCCCTCAAATTTCACAGTCTTTGATAAACAAAAAAGATGTCGTTACCAATCTTTGCAAAGAAGCAATGATGCGAAATTTCAACAGAGGTAATTATAGAGAACTTGTTCAACAAACATTGTTGTATGTTGTAATGGGCAAAATGTGAAATTCTCTGGGTTTATTAGACCAAACGTTTAGCAAAATTGAAAGGTGGATGGCAAAGTTATTATATTCTGCAAAACTTGTACTGTTGAACAAAAAAATTAGCCAGCTTCCTAAAGGAGCAATATTTACTCTACAACAACTTCTTAAGCTACAAAGGATTGTTCAGTCTGTTGTATTTTGTTATATTCCATGGTGGCTCAGTGCACCTATATCTTCAGCAGTTCCTACTAACGATTTAAAACTTATAAACTCATTATTAAGTTAGTATAAAGTTATTGATTTATCTATTGCTAATGCTGCTCTGAAAGCTTTCGGCAATCACATGTGGTATCTCACTGAGGAGTTAGCTCCACTGTCTCTATTTAATGATAACTTAGAGGACAAGCAGAGGCAAAAGATTGCCAATAAAATACTATCATTAACAAATTATGTGACATTAAATAAATTAACTTCAAAAAAAAAAAGGTCAGGGTTAGGTAAACCTATATTTTCAATGATTCCTAAAATGACTGTGAATAATTTGAATAATTTTATTGGTGAAGACTCCCCAGTTTTTTTCACCATATTAAATATAAAAGAACGAAAATTTTATAGCTTCAAAAGATGTGGTTTCTAGTTTATGCGTTGCAAATGATTCTACTGAATGTTGGGTAAAGCTTTGTAGTGACTTTGCAGGAACTGCTAAGAAAGAAGATAAGTTCCAGAATATTATACAAGTTGTAGAAAACAACAGAATTATGTGGCCCAACCAAAGGGAAAGATACTTAGAACCAATCAGATGGTACATTAATTTCTGATTGGATTGTTTATTTTTTCAAATTTTTATTTAGTAAAGTTACTTTTTTATGTTGTTACTAATGTATATGTTAATAAAACATTTAGTTTTTTGTTAATATTTTTACTTTATGTTTTAAATTTAATATTAAAATCTTTTACTTATTGAGCATTTAAATACATACACACATGCACACACAAAAACAGTATTGGTTACGACATATATCAGATTTGTTCACCACCTCACTATTTAGACACCATTTCACCAAAAAGGAAGATTTTTAACTGAAATATATATATATTTTTTGTTTGCATAAAATAAAAAACCGCCTCCTCCCCTACTTTTACCACCCTAACCTAATTAGCACACCTAATTCTTAAACTTATTTAGTCTACTCCCTTTATACCAAATAGCTTAATTTAGATTAATAAAAAATAAAAATTATTAGGTTGTCCCAGATATTTGTAAGCTAAAAATTGGAAATTTTATATTTTTGAGCCTAAATAGAATACTTTGATTGAAATCTGCTACCACTAAACATTGTCCGATTATATATATATATATATATATATATATATATATATATATATATATATATATATATATATATATATATATATATATATATATATATATATATATATATATATATATATGTTATATATATATATATATATATATATATATATATATATATATGTATATATATATATATATATATATATATATATATATACATATATATATATATATATATATATATATATATATATATATATATATATATATATAGTATATATATATATATATATATATATATATATATATATATGTATATATATATATATATATATACATATATATATGTATATATATATATATATATACATATATATATATATATATCACTCTAATATATATATATATATATATATTAGAGTGATATATATATATATATATATATATATATATATATATATATATATATATATATATATATATATATATATATATATATATATATATATATATATATATATATAGCCTGTTGATGCAAAAGAGTACTTTTACATCAACTAAAGATTTGAGGGCTTTTCTTTTCATTATTCTATTCTTTTCTTTCATTATTCTTTATTTTTTTCTTCTTTTTCTGAAAAATCTCTATGCAATAAAAATAAGCAAAACTAGTAAGCATTTGCTGATAATCAGAGGCACTTTTAGGGGGGGGGGAGGGGTCCACCCCACTAAAGAAGGTGATTTTGAAATTATATACAGCTTTTTTACAAATTAAGTTTATTATGCAGTTTGCAGATGAGCCTAAATATCATCAGTACTCTGTAATTTAAATATTATCAAGTACCGATGATGCAAATTGGCATGTTTATGAATTACTAATTGATTATAATAACAATGATAAAATTATATTCAAAAAAATGTTTAAATTATAAAATAATTTTAAAAATATTAAATACAATTATTTTTCAAACAATTATATAATATACAATAAAATGATAAAATCAAATTATCTGAAATGAGATGAATAAAAAAGGACACAATAAAAGCTGTTCTATGTAGATAGTTTGACTGTATGTTGGAAATGTTTGACATATAAAAAAAGTTGTTGTGATCAATTAAATTAAGTTCAACTCAAGTTTTGATTGATGAAAACAAAATATAGCTTATAAGGCTCAGTACAAACGTAAATAAAAACTTTGTAGAGTGCTAATAAAACAAGAATAATATAAGGACTTTAATACTTAAATTTAGGTTTGCTCTTGTCACAAATCAAATAAAAAATTAATGAAAATAGTAATTTTTGACTACATAATTCACCAAAACCATTAATTTCTATGTAATTTTCAAAAACATTTACAATTGCAAAAGCATTCTTATTAACTTCTCTTTCAACTACTCCTGGTAATGTTACAAAATATATGTTCGATTGTTGATCATGGTAAAACTCTCCATCATGAAAGTGACCAGCAAAGCATGCTACAACACACTTGTATGAATAAATGGTTGATAAAATCTCATTAAAGTTCCAACAAACTGTATTTTCTGTTGATGCTTTCAGGTGCAATGGAATATGACTTAATAAAATTACTTTTTGTTTATTTTTAGAAGCATCGATGAGCTCATCATGGAGCCATAGGAGTTGTTTCTCACTTATAGCTCCATTCCATGAAACATATTGTGGAGAACAAAGATAAGGCTCTGCTTTTTCATCATTTTTATTATATTCTTTTAAAAGACTAGTAGCTAATTTCCATTCATCTGTATGAGAAGCTCTACCACAAGTGGATATATCATAGGTATCTAACGCAATAATACGAAATGTTTTAAATGTAAATGAATAATAATAATCATAATTGTGAGAACTAGCATTATGTTCTGAATATAAATTACATGATTTTATAAAACTGTTTAAAGAACTTTTCCAAAGCATTTCTCTTGAAAAATTGTAAAAGTCGTGATTTCCCCAAACATGACAAATATATGGAACAATTTTTGATGAATCCTTCTCGCTTACGTAAGTACCTTCTTGCTTAGATACAGGCAATCCACAAGAGTCAAACTTAATTAATACGTTATTAATATTTTCAAAATCTTTTTGAGTTTTTTTATAAAAATTACTAAAACCACCCAACAAATCTCCAAGTTGAACAACAAATTCAACCTTAGAGTCGTTCCATGTACTAATAGCATCCTTAAGATTGTTTATTGCATTTCGATAATACCTAAGATTCGTTTTGGTATAGTTGTATCGATTATCCACATCTGCATACTGAACATCTGCAATAATACCAAATGAAAAATAACTGCTCTGTTTTCGTCATTGTGAACAGACGAAAAAATATTTGAATGATCAGAATGTGTTTAAGTTTGGTGTTTACGAATACAATACCGGACCACGCCGGACCAAACCGGAGTAAAACGATAGCGGGTCGTTAAAGCGGAAAATTTAAAAGTTAATTTCTATTCTTTTTTTTTCAACAAAACAGTCTTTATCTTTATTTTTCAAAAAGTGGCACTAATTTAATAACACTTAATTAATAGTTTAGTTAAACGTTTTGTTAACAATCTTATATTATTAATTTTACTACTTTAAGTATATTAAAATATATATTTAGTTTGTTTTTATTATAAAAATTTCCTAATAAGAATGTTAATAGAAACCATTAACGTTTTTCGCTTTAACGACTCTGAACTATTTTATTAGAAAAAACTATTTTATTAGAAATAATATGATCATTTGAGATACAAATATACAATAAAAAATGCCAAATTTTTCAATTTTGAAAAATTAAAAGTTTTCGTAACTTTAACGAAAACTACTAATCATTACAATAGCAACAACTCAACAGCATTCTCATGTTTTCTAGATGCAAAATAAGCTTTTGATTGCTCTAATCAGGGCAATCCCTAGGGTTGGTGGCGCCAATTGAAAACGTAGTTTCGGCGGCCCATCCCTCCAGTAATAGTCGCGTATATAAACTTTTGTGTTGCCACAGATAATTTAATACTTACACCACCTACCAATCTACCATAAAGATAAATAATGTACATTCAAGTGATCAATCTTTTTTGCGTCATCAATGTACGTAGGTAGATTTTAATTAACTTAATCTTTCTGAAACTACGTTCACTGTTGGCCACTTTCATTGAAATTGTCAGCAATATGCATAGTGCGGTATAGTAAAATGGTCTTTTCTGTCGGTGTTTTGGATTGTACTGAGTGCTTCTAATCGTAATAGTGTTTTGTGGGCTGCCTTCTGCTTCTTCCCACATCATTTTTCAAAAAAAGTTGCTATCAAACTGAGTCGTAGAATTTTATTTGTACAGTTCTTCCTCATTTATATCTCAATATTTTTTCACAGTAAGGTGTTCTTATAACATTTTATAATTCTCTTAATGTTTTTCCTTTGGTGGTAGTTTTTTTTTTAGAAAACTATTTCAAGAACTTGTTCATTCTATGTTCTGAAGATGATTCAATTGTGTCAATTAGGGACAAGAAAACATCGTTTTTGAAAGACTTTATTGAATGTTTTGTTGGATAAGACCTTGATCAACAGCTTATTCATTTTTTATCCTGATTGTTGCTTTGATCAATTTCTCAGAGCAACTAAAATAAGATGGATAAATCTTTTTTCAGTCGAAACCTTTTTTAAGGAAGACAATCTGAATCAGTTTTTGGAGAGTATATAAACCATCTGCTCTTACTTGTTCAATGGAAATGGCGTTTTTCGGTTTTAGGAAAGTTTTTATTGTTTTTCAGGAAAGGTATTGGATTAATTTTAATTATGCAGTTTTTATCGCTTACAGCCAGCCGTTCCAGCCATGATTTAAATTACATTCAGGTTCTTTGTTGTTTTTTTTTATGCTTCCTTAGATCTTTGGCTGTCCAAAGATGAAGTTGACAAGCATGTGGTAAAACTAGCTGAAGAAGTTGAACTACACAACAGAGGTTTACTACATTATCTTTCTTTGGTTAGATTGAAACAGAAAAGTGATCTCACTAGATGTTTTTAAGGAGTTTTCATCACTCAAAATTTTTGATACACAAGGTTATGAAGAAATTGGAGAATGAAAATAATGTGTTAGTTTTGGCACTTTACTCATGGGCTGCTTTAAAGCCCTTGGCTAATATTATGTTTTAAGGTTTTAACATTTTCAATAAAAAAATATTCAAATTCAAATTAAGGTGAAAAACTTTATTTTCGTTTTTGAAAACATAAACTCTTCATAATGTAAGTTTTTTAATTTATGATTAAGGTCACTACAGTTTGCAACCCTTTTTATTAACTTACTTTTTTGTCGGTTTATTTATTTTGTTGTCCTCGTAAAACAAACATGAGTTCAACGTTAACAATCGATTATTCAACGTTAATAATCGATTATTAACGTTGAACTAATGTTTGTTTTGTTTTAAATAATTTCGATATCGAAATTATTTAAAAAGTAATTAAACAACGCAAAAAAAAGTTTACTTTAGCGTAAATAAAAGAAATGGTTAAAAATAAATAAACAAACTTTAGTTTAGTGTAAGTAAAATGAATCGTTAAAAAATACATTAAAAAAACTTTTCAAAAATAACTTTTTTTAAATGGACTAAAAAAGTAAATCAATATTTAATGTATTTAAATAAATAAATAAAAAATTAATAAAATTAATGAAAAATTAAAAAAAAAAAAAAAAAAAAAAAAAAAAAAATTAAAACAAGGCCCCGCTTGTCCCCCCCCCTCCTTAAGGACGACCCTGACTGTAACTGTGATTTGCTTTTTGAGAAATTATTCTTTGATAAAAATCTACTCCCTTTTATTTTTTTAAAAATAATAGGTGTAATGACAAAAGACAAAATGTAATTGACATGTAAGAAGATAAATATATATTTATTAAAATTGAATTTCTCGCTAGATATAACAGCAACACCAAACAATCACTATATGTTTGTACAGTGTTTACCTTTTTCATAAACTAAATTAAATAGTTAATTGAGAAATGGAGGAATTGCTAATACTTAGTATTTATACCGTTAACTAAACGTAGCTGTTTAATTTGTCAGAGTGGTTCATTTAATTAATTCCTTAAATAATTTAAATAATTCCTCATTTTAAACTTGCTTAATGGTTAAAATATAGAGGTCTTTAAAAATTAAAGGAGATAAATCATACTTCCACATATAAACAAAAGATAAATTTTTATATAAATTTAGTTTATATATATCGAGGATTTTCATTTAATTAAAAAATATTAAGGAATGTGCGAACCAATCCGCAGAATTTATTAAATGTTTTTGACGCGTTAGAAACTTGCGATCCGTTCAACTACTTCGTCGACAGCGGTAGAGACATTGTAACTTGCTTCGATCATTGCTACCCCAGGCAATAACTCCATAAATTATATAACTATAAATAAAGGAGTTATAAAGTCTAGTTAAACTATTTTTATCTAAATGAGTACGCGCCTTATATAAATTCCGATACTTTTTGAAACTTTCGAGCAGACATAGTTAATATGATATTTCCATATGATGTTCTCGTCAATGAAAACCCCCAAGTATTTAGTTACAGAGTCTCTTTTTATTTTAATAAGAATTTTTGATCAATAAGAATTTTTAGTAGATTTGTAGGTAGATTGTTTGGGGAGTGGGTAGAAAAAAATCCAATTTGTTTTGCTTACATTAAATGTTAATTTGTTAATTTTAAACCATTTAGATATGTCTTGAAGTTCTATATTTATCACGGAGAATAGTAGATAGATGTCACTGTTAGAGAGAAATAAGTTTGTGTCATGAGCAAACATAGTACTTAGAAGATTTGATGCTTTATGCAAGTTGTTGATATATATTAAAAACAAAAGAGGGCTTAAGATGGAACCTTACGGAACACCACAGGAAACATTTAAAAACTGTTTATGATTAAGTTCATTACAAGAAACAAAAATTGTTTTCTCTTATATAAATAACTTTGAAACCATTTAATTACTCTTTCATTTATTCCATAATAATTAAGTTTATGAAGCAAAATATCATGATCAACAGTATCAAATGCTTGTAAAAGATAGATAAAAATTCCTAATGTGAATTATATTAACTAAATAATTGCATGCTCAGTTAAGTGATTCATTTTAAAGCCAAACTGATTGTTTTATAATAAACTATTTAAACTAAAATAATTAAATACTCTATTGAATATGATTCTTTCTATTTTTGAAAATGTAGATAAGATAGAGATAATTACTAATGATAATTACTTATCTCTAATATAAAAATAATGGTCGGTAATTACTAATGTCAGATTTGTCATCACCTTTTAATAGTGCAATAGCAATTTTTAATTGATCAGGATTGATGATTTAAAGACTTTAAAAAGAATATATTTTATTTGTTCAAAACAATCTAAAATGTTACCATTGATTTCATCCGATCCAACTGCTTTATCTTTTTCTAGTGTTTTAAAGGCTTTTTTGAACTCATCAAGTAATAACTCTTTAGATAACTCATCCAAGTGAATGCAATTATCCATCGGTACAAAGAAATCTTTAAATAAGGCTACAGTGTTAGGAATTAATTTAGATAGTTTAGGGCCAATTTCAACAAAGAATTTATTAAATTCGTGAGCTATTGTTTGAGAATTATTTATAATATTGTTATCCACTTTGATCAGTGTGTGGGGGGAACCTGAGCATGCCTTTGATTTACTGGTAATTTCTTTTATTATTTCCCAGGAGCGTTTACAATTATTTTTTGCTTTATTGATTTAGAAATTAGAGGAATTTACACGCAGTCTTATTTCTAAACGTTATAAAATCCAAATAAAATATTTAGAAAAATTTCATCAAACTTTCTTATGCATATCCAAAAAATGATTTTTCAATAGTGTTGGCTGAATCAAACAATGCAAAAGTATCTAATTGCATTTCAAGCTTGAGTACAAAGAGAGAAGAACTGTTTAGGATCATGCAATAGGAGAATGATGATTAGTCTATTTTAAATTTGCTTATTATTTAAAACCTTTGGCATATAAAATTCGCCGAATGGTCACACACGAGCAGTGAACGCCTGAGGGAAGAAATGAAGTACATTAGAATAAAGGAGAATTATTTATTAGACAAAGCATGTTTTGACAGTTGTCAAGACAAAAATAAAGATTAATAGAGGAATATTTAAAAATAAATAAGACAAGCTATACAACCAAAACAGTACTCAACCATAATAACAATAAAAAATTAAAAAAAAAAATTAAAAACAAATAATAACAAATAATAATAAAATATATACATATATATATATATATATATATATATATATATATATATATATATATATATATATATATATATATATATATATATATATATATATATATATATATATATATATAAAATTAAAAATAATAAAAAAAAAAAAAAAAATTGTTTTATAATAAATTAAAAATTGTTATATATATCGTGTTTAGAAGACGTGATGAAATTTATTGTGCTTAGAAGACGTCCAAGTGTATTGTTTTTTAAAACGGAACAAGTGTATTTTAAAAAATTAGTTTAATTTGTGCAGGAACTATTTGAACGGAAAACTATTTTCCATTCAAACAGTCCCTGCAATTAAAGAACTTTTATTTATTAGAGATATTTTGCCAAATTTTATCAACTAAGTTGTTAAAAAAAATGAGTATAAAATAATAGTGTGTGCAGTGGCTATTAAATACTATGATAAACACTATTGAAGTCTTCTTGTTTGCAGAAAGCCCTGAATGAGCATGTAGCGAAATAGTTCGAGCACCAGAAATTGCAGTTTGAACTTCGGATACTCAATTTTTTTTTATTTAAAATTGCTCTTTAATAAGGAGGAACTTGTTGGTAAACTGAATCTTTTTGGGGGCATTGTTAGCAGCTCAGTTCTAAAAATCTACTAAGTTTCAGTCTTTTTTATTTGAAATTGCTATCAAATAAAAGCACTTAACACCATCAAGCACATAAAACATTGCAGATTACAAATGATCCATATGACATTACTGCCTAGTATGTCTAGCTGCTGGTGTGCCTAGGTTCTGCTAGATTGCATAGCTTCTCAAATAGTTTCACTGCTAGTATGCCTAGCTTATGCCCTGCTAGTATGCCTAGCTTCTCAAATAGTTTCACTGATGTGAGATGACAGTTTATGGAGCTGTTGAGTCACCACTACTTTGTCTGTTAACCATTATTTTTAAAAAATATAACAAAAGTCAAATTTTGTGTGATAACATAGACAATGTAGACAATATTGGAGTAAGTTGGAGATAATCAACACATTAATAATATATGTTACAAAGCCTCAATGAACTTCATTTTGTCACCTTTGTTATGTCATAATATTTATTTGTTATGTCACTTTTATTATGTCATAATATTTATTTGTTATGCCACCTTTGTTATGTCAATAACAGATAAAAAAAGACTAAAAGTGTTGAGTATAGTTAGTTATACTATATACTAAAATACTTAAAGTTGTGCATTGTAGTTATAGTTGGAGTTATAGTTGATTAATTTTATTTGCCATTATGAACTTTTTTTATAATATGACACAACATGAGTTGGCCAGTTCAAAAAAACTACAAGCTAAGAAAAATTAAGAAAATTATGGCCTGAATTTAAATTTGCCCCAATGAGACAAGGTAGTTAACTAAATTATTTTTCATATATAAATATTTCATGTTATTATATGTTAAAAATAAGCTTCAAAAATACAAGTTAAATTTATTTTAAATATATTGTATATTATACTATAAATATATTTATATTATATATATTGCGATTAATAATATTTTAATTTATACATTAGTATTTTTTGTTTTCAGCCATTCAAGAAAGATGCGATTGGTTTGTAAAAAATTATGAACATGCATGCAAATAAATTCAGTTTGTAATTATTAATAGCGAACGGGGCAAAAATTATTTTTGGCAGCTTACTCATTTCCAGGCCGTTGCATGCGCACTGATTTTTTTTGCATACAATCAATGTATGTTTTAGTGGTTTTCAAAAACACTTAAGATTCTTAAGTGTTTTTGAAAACCACTAAAGCTCCGCGTCGATTTTTACAGTAAAAGTAAAAAGTGAACATGGTTACACTTTTTTGTTATTTAAAAATCATGGTTCAAAACCGCTATGTTTTAAATTACATTAAGCATTAATATAAAGCCATTACTTGAACATAGTTTTTTAGAAAAACTATTTTTTTTTTTTTTTTTTTTTTTTTAGTGTAATTTATTTCGCCGTTAAAAAATTTTTACATTGCATATACATTTTTATAAATTGATGGCTGGAGCAAGAAGAAGGCACATTTCGCCTTATCGCCGAGCCCCATTAAAAATTCTACATAACCGTAACATACAAATATATATATAAAAGAAACAATTAGAAATGAAATAGAAAATAACTAATATAATAAAAAAAATAAAAAATAAGAATTAATTAAGAAGCGTTAAGATGCTTAACAGTTGCTAAAATGTTTGAGAAATAAGTTAATATATAAAAAAAAAAAAAATTCCTGAATATAAAAGAAATTGAAAAAATAAAATCTCATAATTAACACTAAATGAATATGTAACATCATCACTTATGACATCATCACTTGTGACATCATCACTTGGATTTTTTATTCTTTTTTTTTTTTTTTTTTTTTTTTTTCTTTTTTTCCTTTTTCTTTCTTTTCTTATTCATATTATCATATATCATTGATATTATTGAATCTATTTTTTTTTATTTTTTTTATTGTGTTTACTTTAAAATAAACATTTAAAGTCGGATTTATTGAGATCCATGAACAATAATAATCGTTTTGATTCATCCTTAAATTGCTCTAATGTAGTCTGCTTTTTGTTAACAATATCTGGAAATTTCTTCCACAGATAAGGTCCGCGGTATTTAATTGAATAGGAAGTTAATTTTAATTTATGTTTTGGAACAACAAAATTGTTTTCTGAAAACTTTGTTGAGTACCTATGGTTAATTTTATTAAAATAAGATTGAAATATTTTAGGAGACAAATCCTTTTTTGTTTTAAACATAAACAATAAAACTTGGTGTAAATTAAGTTTATATACATTTAAAGCACCGAGCACACTGAGAAGTGGTTCGCAAGGAACATTTCTGTCGGCTCCAAATACTATTCTACATGCATGTTTTTGTTTATTGTAGAGTTTCTTTAGTTTTGTATGACTAGTACTAGCCCACACAACATTACAATAAGACAAATAACTGTGAATAAAGGCGAAATATAATTTTTTTAGAGATGATATATTTAGAAAGGGTTTAGCCCTAAACATCATTGCAATATTTTTTGAGATTATTTTTTCAATGCTATTTATATGTGAACACCATTTTAAATTTTCATCCAATTTTACTCCTAAAAAGTTTATGTAAGATTCCCTTTTAATATAAGTTTTATTAATATTAAGATCTGGTAATTTAAGAGGAATATTTTCTGATTTATTTACTTTATGGAAAAGCATATATTTTGTTTTTTCCGCATTTAGTGAAAGTTTATTACTTACGAACCATGCACTAACATTACATAACTGTTCGTTAACTATTTTAAAAAGTGATTTAATATCTCGGTGAGAACAAAAAAGATTTAAATCATCAGCAAACAAAATTAGGTCTAAAAGATTTGTTGATAGGTATAAGTCGTTTATGTACAATATAAATAAAAGTGGTCCTAAAATAGAACCCTGAGGAACCCCGCAAGTTATGGAGTGTGGAATTGTATTATTTTTATTATAGTATAAAAATTGCTTTCTGTTAGTCAGATAATCTTTGAACCAAAGTAAGTTTTTATTTTTTACACCGTAGTTTTCGAGTTTTTTTATTAGTATATAGTGATTTACGGTATCAAAAGCTTTTGACAGATCAATGAAAACTCCTAATGTAAAACAGTCATTATCTAAGGCATTAGATATTTGATTGGAAAGTTCAACTACTGCGTGTTCAGTGGAAGTTTTTTTTTTAAAACCAAATTGTTTACAATACAACATGTCGTTCTCAGTTAGATGATTATAAAGTCTGTTATACATTATTCTCTCTAGCAATTTTGAAAAACAAGGTAAGATTGATATAGGCCTGTAGTTTAAAATATTTGACTTATCTCCAGATTTAAAAATTGGTGTTATACGGGCAATTTTTAATTTATTAGGAACAATACCTGACTTTAATGAGAGATTGAAAATGTGAAATAAAGAAGGTTCAATGACTTCAAATACTGATTTGACAACATCAACACTAATTTTATCAAAACCTTCACTTTTTTTACTTTTGAGACTGCTAAATGCAGTTCTCAACTCACTCAGTTTTAAATCAGTTTCATCCATAAGTTTATCATAAGTTTTTAAGTATGAATCAAATGGAATGGAATTAGTAGAAATTTTAGCAGCCAAATTCGGGCCAATATTAACAAAGTAGTTGTTTAGTTCTTCAGCTATAATTGATTTTTCATAAACTAATTCTCCATTAATTAAAAGATTTTTTGGCAGAGTGCTTTTGTTATAATTA